CTTTGCTCCCAGCCAGAGACCACTTCAAGTGCCAGCTCACCTCTGCATCACGAGAATGAACGCTACTAGAGGTCAACTCAACCTGTAGTCCAGGGACCAGCAACCAGGAGGCCCCAGGAAGACAGGAAACATCCCGGTACCAGAGCCCAAGACCTGCCAACCACATCCTCATTTTCTTCACTGCCGGTTTCTGGACTGGAGTTTTCGCAGGATGAGTGACAGCAAGGACAGCTCATCCCCCACAGATAGGGCTATGGTTTTGTCTTCATCCCAATGCCACCACATTCCGTGCTATTCCGTGTTAGAGCACCATATGAGGAATGGCAAAATCCCAGCCATAACACTCCGCTCAGAGCAGGTCCAGTTGCTTCTGGATTACTGCACAGTGTCAGGGGCACATCCTTCCTGTAGCCCCTTTATCTCCACTCTGCAGCTTTTACAAACTGTGGCTCAAGAAGAAAGTGTGTGACTATAAGAAAAATAAAAATACACAGGCACAAGGTAGTCTAAATTCCCACAGAGAAAAATCAAGTCCCATAAAGAAGTGACAGTCTGGTAAAGAATACGTCCAAATTAGGTTAACAAACTGACCACTCAGCTTCTCTGTCTGAAACTTTGCACGGGGTTAACAAGGATTTTAATTTTCCTCAAGCAGGTATTTGCTTTACTTGACACAACTAAGAGACCCACAGTGGGAAAAGGTATGATCCATCACAGTTGAGCCCAAAGGGTGGGCTTCTGAGCAGTAGAGTCAGCATCACCTGGGAACTTGCTAGAAATGCAAATTCTCCAGCCCCACCTAGATGTACCCAATCAGAAACTCCGGGGGTGGAGTGAAACTCTGGGTTTCAAAGGGCCTCCAGGTGATTCCGGTGCAGTTTGGTGTGAGGACCATGGGTCTATCAGATTCTAAAGTAAGCTGCTTCTTTGAAGGCAAAAAACTGCTGGTAACTTTCAAATGATGATTTTTCCTCTCTTAGGACCTCATGGGATCTAAATTTGTTGAGATCCAGGCTCAGCCAGGGCCACACTGCTACAGTGTGTTGTTAAATAAGTTTGTTGATATTAACTCAAAACCTTGAAAAAAAAATTAAAACAATGACAAAGGAGAGAATATAAAATTCAATTTGGTTTATACAAGAATAATAAATATAATTATTTATATTACCTTCTCACCATTTTTAAATGCCTAAATGCCATACTGCTTAAAAATTGCATATTAATATTGTTTTAAAATGTGTATTAGATAAGCTATGAACTTTGTTTTATTTTGTTACGTACACATGGCTGTCTCTTCACAACTTTAAAAAATTAGAACATTGTGATCCTATTATTCATTCCCCCAACCATGGAAGGATATCTCAGAAACGAATAATCAAAGTGCAGCTTTTTTATGCCTTACCTATTTTCACCCACACACAACTTATCACGGTGAAACAACTGATGCTCAGCTCGAGAGCATCCTCTCCTGAAACAGTCCAGTTGCACATTTCTTTGCTATTGCATATCCTTCAAGTTGTGGTAGAGGAAAAAATGTGCTCCAAAATGGAGCAGAAGATACTAGAGGGCAGCAAATGCTGTGCATCACACAGTGTATGAAGAGTTGATAAAAGCTGAGAGCATTACCACATTTTCTTGGTTTGGGGGACACTGACTTATAAGGTAACCTAAGTTTGGCAGCTGTAACTGAGCAGTCTGTGGACGTCAGGATTTGTGTGAATGAGATGCAGAGGGAGGAGAAAATTTCAACGATTTACCATAGTTATAGATTATAATTATTTTAATAATCTATAATTAAAAGTAATTAGGAAATGCCAAGAAGCATCAGCTACCAAGTTGAACAAACGACAAAATTACATCAAACTTTTTTGCAACTATTTGTAACATCTGTTTGTCTACGCCTACAACAAAGTCACTTATGCAAATCAGCCTCTGGCTCCCTATTACTCTGCCTGTGTCCCACTCTTGACAGACCTCTGATAGGATCCTTCACTCTGGCTCATTTTGGCCTTTTACCCCTTTAGGCATTAACTTAGGCTAAAGACTTTCCACTTGGTTACAGTCAGCTTATAACCAGAGGTGCCCTCTGCTCTCCACTTGAAATTATTCAAGTTCTTTCCAATCAATCCGTTTCAACCTCTCTCTCAATCTCACTTCCTCTCTACTCCCAGACCTCCTGTTTTTCATTTTCACTCATTCCTCTATCTCACAGATTCTCTATAGTGCCTCTGGTAAAGGAGAAAAGGGTTTGCACAGGACGTACGTGAACAAATTCTAGAATACTGTATGGTTCTGAGGTAACTCAAGAGTCCAGCTTGAAGGACCCTCTGTGTGTCTCTGATGGGCCAGTTGGTCCTCTTCTCTCTCATCCATCCTTCTCTCTCTGCCGCTGAGCCTGGTGCTTTGCTGAGCTCTCACACATATGGAGTCAACATGCCCAGCCTCCCTAACTAGCGATATAAGATGTGGCCTCATTTCCTTTGTTACCCAAATTATGACTTGCACTGACCTTCCCATATCTGAACTTGGGCCCCTCAGTGGGTCCCCCAGTTATGTAAATGATTCCCCAAGATGCAGCCTTAAGGATATCCTGAAAGAAGTCTCTCTTCTCTTTCTACTCCACTCTCCAGCCTGTCCTCCCTCTGCACTCCACCGCTCCTTGCCAATGGGACGCACTCTTCCCCACAGCCCAACCAAGGCTGGGCTGCAGATCCTGACAGGATACTACTGAAGATTCAGAGACAATAAAGAGAGTTATCTCGTTGAAAATGGCTACTGATGGCGTTGTGGATGGCTCTTCTCAACGCAGAGGCCCAGACCCAGTCTCAGGTTCAGGGCTACCGCCCCACCCCTCCAGCTCCCCACCATTGAAAACCCCTCAGGTTTGTCTCTGCTTTTCAGGTCTCCAGGTCCTCACAGTGATTAGACCTAGAAGGGAAGAGAGCTCCCCCAAATCCCCAGTCTAACTTCCCACTTCTTGTATGACAATCTCCCTTTTCTTAAGGTTGTTGAGAGAGGGAATGTCTATCACTTATGCAATAAATCTCCCGCCATTTCCTTGATGCCCAATGGCCCTCGGGAAACAACTACAGCAGAACATCAGCACAGGAGAGTTAGCCTGAAATGAACACTTAGTGGAGGATGCAAACAGGCCAGGCCAGGCGGAGTTCCTCTGACAAGCTGTCCTCTCATCCTCTCAACTGCTCCATCCCTACACCGGAAAACTTTGCAGCATATGAGTCATAAATCCATACGTTGTCCAAGAGACTAGTTCTCCCAGATTCCAATTCCAATCAATGGGGTTTCCTAGACCTATGCTAAGCCTAATTATGCACCACCCTTCACATCAGCTAACAGAGGGCTTAGCTCCCAAAGTGAAAAGAATCTGCATTTTTAATGGAAAAAGTCCATTTTCTTCTAGAACAATGGCTATATACAAGTTTATGTTTCATTAACTAAAGGGCCCAATGAAATAGTTTTCTCAGAACAAAGGAAAAGCTTGCCTGGAAGGTAAATTCAAATATGTTACTCTTTCAAGGCAGAACCGTGTGAAATTTTATTTAGATATATTTTAAGTTAGAAAATCATTATGAAGAAAACAAAACATGGTCCTATACTCTGACCCTTTTTCTAATTTGTAAACTTTTCTAATTACAATTAGCTTTGAAAACCATTGAACAACTTCTTGCATATCCTTCTAAAAAGTTATGCCCATATCAGCACACATGTATGTATGTCTTTTTTTTCCCCACAAAAAATGTATGCATGTTCTGAATTTTCCTTCTTTCTTTTCTTTCTCCTCATCCTCCATTTTCATTTAACTTAATAATATCTCGAGTATTTTTACATATCAGCAATATAGATGTATTTTTTTAAGGTCTGTGGTATTCCATTTATGGTTTTATCAACGTGTATTTAACTAGTTCCCTTTTAATGATAAATGGGCATTTAGGTTGTTTCCAGGTGTTTTTAGTGGGAAAGGCAGGAAGGATTAGGGTTATTACACATAATTCTGGAATAAACATGCTGATATGTATAATGTTTGTATAGTTTGTGACTATGTTCATAAGGTAAATTCCTAGCAGTGGAATTTCCCGGTCAAAAGGCATGGTGGTTTTACATTTTGACAGATATTGATTGTAATAATTTATATTCCCAAGAATATCTGTATTCTCATATACTTGTCAACCCTGGGGATTATTATGCTTATTAAGTTTTGCCCGTCTGATAGGCAGAACATGATATCTCATTGTTTCCATTTAGATTTCTTTAAATATAAGTGATGTTAAATAACTTTTCATTGGTCTGTTGGCCACTGGTATTTTTTTTCTGTTAGCTTTGCGTTCACATCTTTTGCTCATTTTCCTATCACATTTTTAAACTTTTTTTACTGAGTTGTAAGATTTCTTTGTTAATCAAAACATGTAGTTCTTATTATTATGTGTTGCAAATATGTCTTCCAGCATGGCATTTATCTTTCGATTTTGTGCATATTACTTTTTGTTGTGCAGAAGTTTCAGATATCTGTGCAATTTTCCAGATTCTACCTAGTAAAGTTAACCAAGAAAAAAAAAATCTTGAGGCTGATTTCTGTCTATACTGTGTCATTCAAGGTAGCTGCATCCTTGCAATGTTGATGCTCCGAGGACAATAAGTGATAAACAGTGAGGCTTATGATAGCTCACATGTCTCCTCAGAACAGACATTCTGTACTGATCTGAGAATCAGAATTCCTCTTACAGCCTGAGACTGACCCAGACTTCAACGGGTCGGGGCATGGTCCAGTGACCACACTCCTTATAGAATCAGTCACACCTTCCCTCTGCTCAAGTAGAAAATGGTCAACTTAATGAAATCCAATATAATTCATGCTGTTTGGGGGTTTATGGTAAGGTTTTTCTCTCTCTCTCTCTCCTTTTTTTATACTCAAGAAGGAGAGAAGACTTTTTAAAAAATCAACCTAGTTGTTAATATTTTATGTTTAATTTCATTTCTTACAGGCAGCTTCAAAAAATGGTTCATGACATCAAGAACAATGAAGGTGGAATAATGAACAAGATCAAAAAGTAAGTTAGATGCCATAGCACTATGTGAGCACTTATTTATGTAAATAACATCTTATGTCAGCCTGCACTAAGTGAAAGAACACAAAACTTCCCTGTTACCCGAGTGATGAGTTGCAACCTCTTTAGCATGTGACACTTTCTTACTCATGTCTAGAGTCATGGTGGTCAGACCCACATTCAGGAAACATGGTGAATGAGTGGGTGGTACTCAGGCACCTTGCTTTTCTCTCTCACTGCTGGAAAGCTGAGCTATGCCATGCAAGGTGCCTGGCAAACATCAAAAGAGACCTTTATAGAAGCAGGACAATCAGCTTCTCTGACCACTTAGCTAAGGGTCACTAGGACACACTTGGAGAAATCCAAAAGAGGAGTTGCAAAACACAGCCTGACTTCTTTAGGATGCCATAACTGTTTCCATATTTTGATTTCTGCTTTTTCAATTATGACCTTAAAATGGAGTTTTCAGCTGGCACTTGGAGAAGGTAAGTTAGAATTCCAAACCTTCCTGCACACACAGACACACACACAAGCCCCTAAGGTTCTTTTTGTTGTTTTTTAGAGAATAGAAATTGTACGTTGTACATACCAGCATTTGCCACTCAAAATCTAAGTCAAGAGGAAAGGGGAAATGGTATTCTGTTAAGATTTTGTTTAAGGCTTTTTTGTTTTTGTTTTTATGAAAGTAATACAGATTCACCACGAAAAAAAAAATCAAAGAGTTCAGAATTGTACAAAGTCAAAATCTCTCACTTTCTCCTATCCCCACCCTAACCCACTCCCCAGAAATGGACACAGCATGAGTGAATTTGGTTTATATATCTACATGTGTATGTTTACACACTCACATACACACATTGACATAGATATAGTACATACATTTTCATCATGAGTGGCATCATACCACATTCTACCAACTTGTTTTGTTGGTTTTAATTAATGCTAAATCACGGACATCTTTCTTTGTTAGTATGTAAAAATAACGATATACCTTTTTTTTAAAGTTTATTTATTTATTTATTTTTGGCTGCTTTAGGTCTTCATGCTGCGCACGGGCTTTCTCTAGTTATGGCGAGTGGGGCTACTCTTCGTTGCGGTGCATGGGCTTCTCATTGTGGTGGCTTCTCTTGTTGCGGAGCATGGGCTCTAGGCACGTGGGCTTCAGTAGTTGTGGCTCGCGGGCTCAGGAGCTATGGCTCATGGGCTCTAGAGCGCAGGCTCAGAAGTTGTGTCGCATGGGCTTAGTTGCTCTGCAGCACGTGGGATCTTCCCGGACCAGAGCTTGAACACTGCATTGGCAGGCAGATTCTCAACCACTGTGCCACCAGGGAAGCCCACCATATACCTTTTAAACAGATAATTAATAGTCTACTATAAATATATTATCATTCATTTAACCAGCTACATATTGATGGACATTTTTTAAAGTGGGAGTAGGAGTTTAAACATACATTTTGGGGGCCAATTTGATAATATCTATCAAAATTTTGTGGCCATTTCTTTTAGTTTACCTGTCACAAATAATACTTCAGTAAATAGCCTTTGTAGACTTTGAATGTACCAGAAAGCTAAATTCCTGAACTGAAATTTCTAGTTTCTGGGTGGAAGGATTTGTGCCCTTGAAATTTTGCTTTATATTGCCAAATTGCTGTCCAAAAATTTTGTACCACTAATAGTGGATAAAATTTCATTTCCTTGTGCCCTCAGAACAAAGTATCATTTTAAAATTTTTTTTTATTTTTCTGTCTTTGCTAAACTTAAGAGTAAGAAATCAGGGACTTCCCTAGTGGAGCAGTGGTTAAGAATCTGCCTGCCAATGCAGGGGAAACGAGTTCGAGCCCTGGTCTAGGAAGATCCCACATGTCACAGAGCAACTAAGACCATGCGCCACAACTACTGAGCCTGTGCCCTAGAGCCTGCATGCTGCAGCTACTGAAGCCTGTGTGTGCAATTACTGAAGCCTGCGCACCTAGAGTCTGTGTTTTGCAACAAGAGAAGCCACCACGAGAAGCTTGCGCACAGCAGAGTAGCCACCGTTCGCCACAACTAGAGAAAGCCTGCACGCAGCAACGAAGACCCAATGCAGCCAAAAAACAAATAAAAATTTTAAAAAAAAAGAGTAAGAAATCACTTTTTGTGGTGTTTTTAGGCTATAAAATGTAAACGAATTTCAATATGTATAACTGATCATCATAAAATAGTTAAAATGGTCTTCTGCTTGTGGGGCAATTGTCACCTCATACAGGAGAAGAATTTGTCTTCGTGTTCTGTCCTATGATGGGGAGAGGTGTGTGATTATTTTCATTTCTTATTTCTGATATATATAGAATCTCATTGAAATGAGAGAACCCTGCTAGTCATTGTTTTAATTATCCCACAGATTAATTATCCCACAGTTGCCAATTTTACAATACACCAATTCTCTCAATAATATGAAGTCTTTGTATAAAATGTCTTTTTATTCCGTGGCCAGTCATACTTAACAGAAGCCATGGAGCTCAAATTTTTCCATATAATTTCTACTTCATTCTGCCCATTATCCCTAAATGCACTTTTACTTGACAAACCATGTTTTCTTCTCAGCTTGGAAAATATGGCTGCCACAGTCATTACCCTGGGTGAAGTCAATGGCCCTTTGGGTCTAAGTGCCCCGAAGTTAAGCTTTCACTCGTAACCAAGCAACAAGCGCCACCTTGAAAGGAGAAAGCACAGTTGAGCACACTGGTTTCCTAACAGAAGAGCAGAACAGAGTTGTCACTGGTTCATGGCCAAATGAGAAAATAAGGACCTTGAAGTGTTGGGGGTTGGCACGCAGCTGCTGGCTGCTCAGTGAGGCCCAAACCACACCTCTTATTCCTGGTCGGTGTTCAGTGAACAACGGTAATCTCTTGAATCTGCCCTTTATTCTGAGATGATGACCTTCACACATTTGGGGGTATTAAAATACCCTTTCTTTTCTTTTTTGAAAGGAAGGCAATAACAAGTAATAGTTGGATTGTGTTTCTTGAAATCTTAATGTTCCACGAACAGACCTGGCACCAGATACACTTTTGTTTTTGTTTTTCTTCCCTTCATCACCTTGGACAATCTCTCTCTGGACCTCATCACAGGTCTAATGACAATGTCTTCCCAGCTCATCCTGCTGGCTTGCTGAGAATTAAATGAAATAACAAACAGGAGAGCCTTTGGGGAAACAAAAAGCAGAATTTCTAGGCAAATATAAATATTGTTATTTTTGCAACATTACAGTTCTGGTTTATAAGGCTTGTTTTTTGTAATCAGACATGATTTTCTGTACCACTTTCTTTCCCCAAAAATGAAATACGTTTTGTATGTAATGGTTACCTTATACACTGCTTATATAAAGAGATGTGATATTTTAGTATATGAAGGCTATTGAGTTTTATATAGGTTTATTTATATATATTTTAAATTTCACTAAGCAAATCATTCTTAAATAAAATGGGTAACTATTATTAAAAATAATAATTTACTATAAACCTTACACATTTCAAACAATGAAAGAGAAAGTGTTTTCAGAACTTGTAAAAAGCCTAAAAACTGGGATACATTTTTGAAATGTAATTTTAGCTTTCTCCTTTTAATGAGTGGGGAAGCATTGTGCATATTCAGAACATTTTATATGTGCATAAAGATAGCAGTTTTGAGAGTGCTTGAAACAGTTCAACTTCTAATCTAAATATCACAATCCCCAACCTGGAGACACTCACTGCTCACTTATTTGGCATTTTTTCAATAGTACAAAAATAATTTCAGTCCCACCTACAGCTGAACTGTTGATTATAGCTAATTTTTTACTATTATTTAAAGCGTTTATTAAATTATTTGTTAAAATAGAGTTCATCTTCTCTTCCCTTCCTATCAACCAATTAACATTTACCGTCCTTGAACCTCTGAGCTCAGTGCTTACATGTATTCTGGCCTCTCGGAGCTCTTTCACCTCCCAACTTCACTTTTGTCGAGTCACAGCCACATGGGGGAGATGGGGAGAGGTGGGAAACCGCTGACTAATGGCTTCGGTACGTTTACAGTACGTTTAGTCTTTCAATGTGATGAGTCCAAAAGAAGTTATTATTCTGTTAGTTATCTATCCATTATCTCTAAACATGCTTATACCATGGACCTTGACAACAGTTGTCCTACTCACTGACCAGTTGTCTAATTTGCTATTTACAGGCTGAAAGTCAAAGCACCTCCAAGTGTTCCGCGAAGGGACTATGCCTCAGGTAAGAGTATTTCTAAGATACTTGAACTCTTGACTAATCTAACGTTCACTGTTACTTCTTGAAAAGTGAACACTGTTCTCCTCATTTGAAAACAAAAGGAGCCCATCCTAATTTTAAGAATGACCAAATCTATTAGGCATTTGACTGTAGTGGGGAGGTAGTAATCCTTCAGTCCATCCATCCATCCATCCATCCATCCATACATACATCCATACATCCATACATACATCCATCCATCCATCCATCCATCCATACATACATACATACATACATACATACATCCACTCACCTATTTATCAAATATGTACTAAGCAACTTCCATGTGCCAGGCACATAGAAGGTTTTAGTAGAAATACAGTGAAAATAAAATAGATATAATCTCCATATTCACAGAATTTATAGTCTAGAAGGGAAGATAAATGATATTAAAAGCAATTACAATTCAGCGTGATGGGGAAGCACAAAGTTCTATGGAAGTACATAGCAACAGTACCTAATCTAATCTGAGGTGGAGAATGTGCAGGAAGTGGGGAATGGAAGGCTTCCTAGACAAAGAATTGTTAAAATAGATATCTGAGGGTCAGTGAGGTGGGGGGGAGGGGTGTGGAATAAATTACTAATAGCACATAGTTACTCAGTACTCTCCAAGTTTTAGCCCTGCAACCCCACTCCACCTAAGATCAACTTCGTCAGGGAATAGGAGTTAGTCTTGAGATTGGTAGTGTTTATGGCAGCAGTAAGCTAAGTAAACTATCCACCACACTTTCCTTTTCTAGAACAGATGCATTGGGAGGATAAGTCTAAAATCTCTTTCTACTGGCTTAAATATAAAAATGTCCTGGATATGGACAGATCTATACAGCCCTCAGTGAAAACCACAAGGCTACAGACATTGATGAAGACTCTTCCTCTATAGGGCAACAGCTAAAACCAAATCACAACCTTAAAGGATGATTACTATTTTATTTTATTTTTTTCTGCCACTGATCAAGATAGCATTAAATCAGGTAGTTGAGTTCCCCTTGGGCACTGATGAAATCTTATCACATTCAGAAATGCTGACCAGCATACCAAGTCTGGTGACTGATCCATTGGTCACTTTCCAGAACTCACTAGGTCTCACAGTATTTATTGACCTCACATTGCCAATCAGTCAGCAAGCCTAGACAGTTGATTAGGGGATTCCTTTGCAATTTGGAGCTAAAGAATAAACACCCCGTCCTGACTTTTAAAATCTACCTAATTTGTCTATGGCCATACCACCCTGAACACACCCAATCTTGTCTAAAATCTACTTAATCAAAAGCAAATGAGGGAATTCCCTGGCGGAGGGCCCGGGTTCAATCCCTGGTTGGGGAACTAATATCCCACAAGCCAAGCGGTGCAGCCAAAAAAAAAAAAAAGAAAAGTTAAAGAGAACAAATACATTTTCCCCTCCAAGTTCTAAAAAAGAAAAGAAATCAAAGCAGACTGAACCTGTTATGTACCCAAAGGTTTGATCGGAAAATATGGAATCATGGAGTCTCAGATTTTAAAGGGACCCCAGAGGTCATATAATCTAACATCCAATCCAATGCTTAAAGATACCCACCCCCCATGCACCACACACAAGGCCCACTTTCCACTTAGACACATCCTGTGATGACCTCCCAAGCCTATCTGCTCCAGTCACAGAGAGACAACCCTGGAGGGATGAAGATGCGATCCATTTCCTGTGGCTTCCTAAATCTCTCCGGGTGGCCACACAGTGCAAGTTTTTAAATATTAAAAAAAGGGGAAACAGAGTTGTTCTGTGAAACTTCAAGGATAGAATTAAGAAGTGAGGTCCTTCGAATGGCTTCTTCTCTAGAATAAACATCTCCAGGTGCTTCAGCCATACCACACAGTCTTTGATTCACTCAACAAATATTACACGAGTGTCCTGTTTGACACTCACTGTGCTAGATATATAATAAGGAACAAAATATAGTCTTCAACCTTAAAGTGCCTAATGACTAGTGGGGAGTCACATAATAAATCAGAACATAAACAGGTAAATACAGATTACCAAACATGGTAACTGCTGTGAAGGAATATGGCAGATGCAGTGATAGGGAATCAGTATGGGGTAAGGGAACAACGTAAGCAGTCAGGGAAGGTCTCTCTGAGACGGTGACATTCAATTTGAATCCTGGGGAATCAGGAGGAACGTTTGTCACTTTGTAGATGACCCAGCAGCACTGGAGATGCTGGATACAAACATTAGGTCCTCAGAGGCAATTGGATCTATCTGACTTCAGGATGGATGTCTCCTGATGGCCTCCTCAGACCCAACTGTCTCCTTGCTCATGCCCTCACCCAGGCCCCTTCTTTTCCTCTACTTTTTACTTGGGCAGAAGATGGGGAGCTTTCATGATTTATTCACCCTTTGGCCTAACCCACACACACTGGAGATCATCCTTGATTACTCCTCTGCCTTCAACCTCTACAAAAAAAATTAATCTCTAAAACTTAATAATTCTCTCTTTTAAGTGTCTCTCAAATATTTTTGCCCCTCTCTATTTACATGGCTACAGCTCAGACCCTAGTCATCTCTTGCTTGTCCTAGAACAAAAGCCTCTAAGTAGTCTCCTGAATTCCTAATTCCACGGGGTCCTCTCAACCTCCACCAGAGAACTGTTCTGAAATACCTTTGCTTAAATATTTTCATGGCTCTACATCATCAACAAGAAGAACTGCAAACTACCAAGCCTGCATACAAGGTCCTTCAATGCCTAGCCACTAAATGGCTGTGTAACTTTGGACAACTCACTCTTTTCTCCTTTTCTAGATCATGCAGGGCTGAACCAGAAGACCTGTTAGGTTCCCGCCAAAGCAAATACTCAACACTCTGGCAGAAACACAAGTCCTGGGAGCCCAGGGCCCAGTGATGAAGCAAGTCTCCCCTAACCTTCCCTGGCTTTAGAACTTTGCCTCTTCCAATCTCCTTGATGCTCAGAAGTTCCCTTTCTTGACCTCAGACACCTGCTCTCTTCCCTGAAACCCCCCAAATAGTCTTGATATCAGTACATTTGTACTTAATCTCTCTTGGAACACGGAAACCTGGCCCAGTCGTGTCTTCTAAGTCTTTGCTACTCAAAGTGTAATTCCTAGCCTGGCAGCAACAGCATCACCTGGGAGCTTGTTAGAAATGCAAAATCTCTGCTCCACCCTAGAACTACTGGATCAGAATTTGCATTTTAAGAAGAACTCCAGAGGATTTGAATGTATATTAAATTTGACAAACCCTGCTATAAACCACCAACTCTGTCCTTATTGATTCTCCTGAACTGAAAGACAAATCTGTTGAAGTTCCAGAATCTCTAAAATTCATCCTATTGTTTCACCAGACCAATACGGCCTTGCTTAATCTCTCTGCTCTTACACTCAATCCCTGGAAAAGGTCCTTTTGGCAAAACCACCAACATCACCTGCAGTTAGTACCCCCTTTGCCAATCCCTGCCCCCCCAACTCATGTCCCAGGAGCATTTCCAGCTACTTTCCCTGAGCCTTGGGGTCCCTGCGCAGCTGCAAGCCTGGGGCCTACAGAAACCAACCCTGACAGTTCCTCCTGAACCTATAGCATCTTCAAAGATCTTGGAGGCCCCAGTGCTTGGAGACCTTAGCCCACCAGACCTCCTGAGCCCAGGAAACCTATCAAGTGCTCCCTGGAGGTCTGTGCAGATTTGATCCACCCAAGGCTTCTGAAACAGCCCCACCTGTTTCAGCTGGATGCTGGAATTATGTCCTCTTTCCAGTTCCGGAAGCAAATGGCTTCCCAAACCCTTTAAGCGAAGTTGGAGAGTGTGTTGACCTTGGTGATGCTGACCTTCAGAGAGCAGAGGATAGAAAGAGCCAGCACCCCCCAGAGGTCAGCAAAAGAGTAACCACAGCCCCTCCAGTGGAGTGTGTAAGGACAAAGCTTGAATTATACAAAGAATGGAGGCCTGGACCTCCTACAGATGCAGGTCAGGCCAGTGTGAAGCCTGTTGCTTTCACTTCAGACCTCAGAACCCTGCTTGGTCTCTGAGGAGGGAACATTGCTCACAGGGAGCTCACGGTCCACTGACCAAACTGTATTACTCCTGTGCAGCTGGCATTGTTGTAGGAAAGGAAGATATCCAAAACATATTGGGTGTTTACTCTGTCCTGGCCATTATGCTAAGCTCTTTACAGACATTAGCTCATTTAATCTCCCATTAGCACATTATATAGAAATGACTATCTCAGTTTCACAAATGAGGAAAATGTGTTTCAGGAACATTAAGTAACCTGTCCAAGGTTGCTGCAGCCACTAAACAGAAGACCCACCCCAGGCTTCCATTTTTCCTCCCTTTGACCCGAGCCGGGATGGCTACACTTTTCTGGGGTATTTCTTATTTACTATTCTGAAAGCCCCAGAGCCTCTGACATTAACACCTGCTTGTTGAACTTTCAGAGTTGAACACCCTTCTCTATCTTTGAGTCTAAGGTCTGGCTGGAGAGGGAGGGTGGGGAGGGGAGATCAGTCGTGGTGCCCCCAGAGTCTTCTGGGGTCAATGCAGAAGCCCCACTCGTCGCTCTGCAAGCCCCTGAGAGGTCAGAACTGAACAAGGCCTCTCTCCTTGTACCCTAGGGCCCTGACAGCCAGGGGCTGTTGTCACGTCCCCAGGAGGCCCACCTTCTCCTCCCACCACTGATAACGTTTGGGGAAGAGACCGGAGCAATGATAAAGCGGGGAGACCTCAGGGCAAAGAAAGATACTTAGACAGGGATTGCTGGGTAAATGCCCACCATAGAAGCAGAGCTTTCTGTTTCTCCTTGGTTTTATCTGAATGCTCAGTGGAGGGCCAGGTGGTTCACATGAGATTTCAGCTGCAGGAGCCAATGCAGCCTGGCCTCCAATCCAGCCCCCATACTCACCAGCCATGTGCCTCAGACACATTTGCCTTAGCCCCAGTTTCCTCGATTGTAAAACAGAGATAATAATGGCACCTACCACA